ACAACACACACAAAAAAAAAACGTCCATCACTTTTCCAAACAGAGAGTGAGGCCGGCCAATTTTCGCACGCTGAGATCTATATTGGAAGGCGTGAAGACGACGACGACGACGGCGATGAAGAGATGAAGCGCGATACGATGGTGGTGGAAATAATGATTGAACTAGATTTCCTTTCTTCGCGAGAGAATGGCTCTTATGGCAAAGGGTTTTCCTCAGCGCGCTGCTTTCGTTAGCTTCGGTTGTTTGTTTGTTGTATGTAGTGTAAGTGCGGGCGGTGCACATTGCTTTTATGTCTTTCCGGTAGAGGTAGGTAGAGTCACTGTGTCGGATTTCGGACGGCCGGTTCACCCGTACGGAACCAGTTGTTTGAGTGGCGGTAACTAATGGGCTGCTTTCTATAGCGCGTTTCACGCACAGCATAACATCAACAGTAGCAGCATCGGTGGTTCGACATGGAACGATGTAGAACAAATAGCACTAATGAAATAATTGGACTTTCAGCTGTTGGCAATCGAAGGGTTTTTGATGATTAATATAGAGAATATTGTCCTACTATGGATGGTCTACCTATAGTGGACCACCTAAGGAAAAAAATGAATGTCGAAAAGCTTCTTCAAGGACGTTCAACAGACTTTCAACTCAAGGTTGCAAATGCTCATTTCGCCTAAAAACATGTTTTTCGGAATAATGAAATCAAAAGATGTTAGATGTTTTTTAGTTTTACTTGTAAGGTACAAGAGTGGTAATCAACGATTTATTAATCGCTGAGTGAGTGAGTGAGTAAAAGTTAATAGAGTTTTCTGGTTGCTGATTGCTTTTAATATAATCATAATTTGCAAGCTTGCTGTCGACCAAAGGAATCCTTCAACGATCACGTAGAATGGGCTTCCAAAGGCCTTAACGAGTCCAAATTAAAACCGGTCAGATTAGCGGGATCCTCGACATTATGCTTTGTTCGTATCATCTCAGCTGGAAATCTGATCAACCTGCCAGCCAGCAGCGTGATCACCCCTCATATAAGGTCAAATGACTTAACTAATCGAAGACCCAATCAACCAGTGCCCATCTTGACGGATTGTTCAAGTTCATCTCGGTAGCATTCGCCGATTGCATCATCACCATCAACATCATCAATTCTTCGAAATTTGACCCGACGACAGTTAATCAACCGCGACCGGTAGCGGTGATTACCTTCTTCGTATTTTTTTTTTTGTTGGAGTGGCTCTTTCTTCATCACTAATGGGGGTCCGTAACCTTCCCTCAGGGAAACCGACTGACTTTAATCTCTGTCTGAATTGTTTTTTGTTTTTTCCACTAGCAAATGACAGCATGTGAACCATTATGATGATGCATCAGACCCGTCGTCAGCAGCAACCAGCCGCTGGTCAGCAGCCTCCGCCACCACCAACGCCTGCTGCGACCGGCCCCGGGCCCGGAGGGGGTGGGAAGGGCGGTGGATCGGAAAATGGGGGCAGAAGGGGAATTCCGATTTTTCGGAACACTCGAAGCGTTAGTAGTAGCCGGATCGGATCAATCGTGGTAGGCCCGAAGGTCGATACGGGAAGGAAGGTTAACCATCAGCAGGAAATCCCGGCGCAAAATCGGGGAAGCGAAGGTGACTTGGACCACATCGATGAGGACATGTTTTCAAAGGTTCCCAAGATGGAACTGCTGAAGGTGAATTATGTAAATTTGAAAAACGATGGCGTTGCCGGGAGTGAGAAGAAAAAGACAGCAGATGAGAAGAAGACGGCGAAGGGAACGGTGGCAGCGGCAGCGCCTACCAAGGGCAACGTGGCAAATGCAATCAAGAAACAACTCACGACTAGTAGCGTCAATTTGACTAGCAGTGCGGGTAACGGCTCCACACCTAACCTCAAAGATGTCAAATCGAAGTATTTGGTGTACAAGAAACACAACGGGTTCGGGTCGAACAATTCGATCGCTGAAATTGGGGCAAAGCTGCAATACATTAACGATACGGACGTGAAGATGAAGAATGGAAAAAAGAAGTACGCTCTTTTCGATAATAAGAAGAAAAACAAATTGGAAACGGTTCAGTATTATTTTGACAGCAGGAGTTACGAGCGTTACGTTGACAACAAACTGTATGGTGTGGTTAACAAAGACGGTCAACAACATCCGCCGCAGCCGCCCGGTGCTAGGGAAATGAGTCCAAGTCCGGCGAAACCCGAGCCCAAACAGGACCCGGCGGATGCACACAAACGTTTGAGCTGGGATCTGCGATCCAACCGGCCCAGTATGCTCCGAGTGATCAATCAATCGGGGAAAAAGCCGGAAATCAACCTGCAATCGACTCCGTCGGTAAAAAGTACCACCTTCAAGCAACAGCCGCAACAGTTCGAAGGCAACAATCGTTTCAAACTACAAAAGAGCCATACCAGTACCAATCTGATTACACGCCATAGATCAATGAACGATATTCATCGGATAAACCAGTTGTTCCTGGAGTCGAAAGGAATCGTCGACGGTGGCAGTGGTGGCGGCGGAAGCAGTCATCCGCCTCCGTCGCTTCCCCCGCTTCTATCCCGGCAGCACAGTAGCAGTGTGATCGCGCTGAATCGGAAAATTGTCAGCAAAAACCCCGCTCCACCTCCGGTGATGATCGGTACCGGTAGCGGTGTCGTGCGAGAAAGCGTCCATCGCTTCGAGAAAAACAAGGCAAAGAACGATGAAATGTCCGCCAAACAACAAAAATACCTCGTCCACAAACGTCTAAGCGCTCGGTACAAGGCGGAAGAAAGTGCCCTGTCTCTGGCGGCGGCGGCAGCCTCGACGCCACCACCTCCAGCATCGCCAGTATCGGTCATCGGTTCGGATGACACGATCAGCAAACGAATTCGTCGGATAATCGATGGCCACAATGGAACAGGACCCACCGAAACGGCCAATTTCTGTTCGGCATCGATGGCCGCCGCTGCGGCACATAAGGAAGAACCAAAGAGCGACCTAACCCGGGTTCGGTCCAAGTCTCTGGAGCGAACCCTCAGCGATGACGAATCGAGTACACTGAGCGTCAAGAGCAGCAAGACTTCGTGCGGGTACAAAAACTGTAAATTCTCAAACTGCCCGATGTCTTCGTCGTCATCGTCTTCGTCCGCCTCGACAATATCAACTTCTTCCTGTGCTTCCAAAAAATCTGGATCCCACGAGAGTCATAAGAGCGGCTGTAGCGGTGGCAAGGAACCGGAGATCCACTGCGGTAAACGAACGTCGATCGTGATCAACGATAGCGACAGTGAAATGATGTTCAACAACGCTCTGAATGATAAGCTCAACAACAGCTGCGAGAATGTACGGGTTATTTCGTCTAAAATCAAGGAGATCGATCTGGAAACGAATCGCATGATCATCGAAAAGTGTATCGAACCGATTGCGGACATTACGGAAACGGTGCTGGCCCGGCAGAAGTTCTGGAACCAGCAGAATCAGCGGAACATCAAGCTTAACAATAACCCACAGAATAAGCCCTATGATGACAAGATCAACATCAACAACAAGATCAAGAACGAGGAGAATAATAGCATCAAGATTTTCATTTCGAGTCAGGGGTCGGGGAAGACTACGGCAAGCATTAGTGAACCGTTGTCGTTGATTTCAACGTCGGCCAGTGGAAGTAGTGGTGGTGGAAGTTCAGCTGCTTCCACGGTGAGTTCCAACGGAGGAGATTCGGACAAGGACGACGGCTACTATGATCAGAGCGAACGGTCGCTCAGTCCCGCCGACAACAAGCAGCCGCTGTCTATTGTTTCTACCGTGAGCACGGGAAGTACACTTTGCAGCGATGGATCGAACATGTCCAGTGTAACGTGTAGTAACGGCAGCTCCAATGGCAATCGTTACACTTCAAAGACCAGTATAAGGCTGGGGTGTGATGGAGCGCTATTTTGGAATAACAACTACTTTGAAGATTTGGACAATTGTCAATCGATTGGTTCTGGAGAAGGTGACGGAGGTGGAGGGGGAGGCGGAGGCGGAGGAGGAGGATGTTGCAATAATGCAGGAAACTGCTGCTGTTGTTGTCGGCGTAGGAGGAGTATTGCACTGGGCAGTAACAGTTGCATCATTAGTTCGATCGACGTCGGTGGCTGCAACGGTTCTGTTGTCAGTGGTAACGGATGCGCTAGTCATGGTAATGGAAACGGAGTTGGCCATGGTGGCGGTGGCTGTAATGGAGGCGGCGGCTGTGGCGGAGTGGTACTGAGAAAAGCTCAGCTCTGCCAGTGCGGAGTGGCGAAGCACAACAGTAAGGTAATTATCTGCGTTTTTTCGCGATGCATTTCTCTTATAGGTAGCCGCAGCACAACTCGAACGTGAACTTTCTTCCGGCTTTGCGTTTTCATAATGAGGCGAAAATGAGCCGCCGCCGCCGCTACAATTGTCAAAATCGGCAGCTAGTTTAATCTGTACGCAACTCAACAACACCCGATACGTCATGGTGGATGCTTCCTGAGATATCTCCGAGTCCGATTGCACGTTTCCCTGCAGGCAATGGAAAGTCAAATAAAACTTGCTAATGATTATTTTTTTGTCTGACCTCGGGGGAAGTGTTCATACGTTTGCACATTAGTTTAAACGAGCGAAATTTTGGCTAATATTCAGTAGCCGCCCACCGCTTACTGCGTCCAATTGAAGCCGCGTTCCACTTTTTCGGCCGTTAAAGATTAGTAGGCTGATGTGCCTGCGCTTAAAACTAATCAATTTGCATGCAAAACTTTGTAAAAACTAAACACAATACTTACGATTCCGTTAGAAAATTAATGCCACAAGAACAAGCAAACGATTGATTAATGGCATCCCCACCCAGTCAATGCTGGTCGGGAACGAAACGGGAAGTGAGAAGTCTTTCGCAAAACACAGAGTGAAACATTCAATCCAAAAACCAACACCGGCTGAGAACCGCTAAAGACTTAATTTTCTAATCCATTTTCCCACTTCTATTCCATCATCTTTTTGCTCCGCGCGCGCGGTTCCGCAGATTGAAAGCTTCTCGTCGCGGCCCCGCTCGATCGATGGACCCCCGGACTCGGGCATTTCCATCAGTAGCGATACCATCATTGCCAGCTCGGACAGCGATCTCAATCTGCAGAGTCAAACGGTAATTCCTTGGCTTTTGCAGTCATCAGCATTCTTCTTCTGCTGCTGCTGCTCGGTTGGTTTGATGAGCGCTAATGCAATCTTTGTTGTTTTTTTTTTCTTTTCTTCACGTGTTTTATTGTGTCGCGGCTTTGTCGCGATTCTTCGTTTGTTCTGCTGCCGACGTTGCCGCCATCGGCCATAGGATTCGGACGAACGGAAGCTTAAACGAGGACACGTGCTGGCCGAGCTGCTCGAGACGGAACGGATCTACGTCGCGGAAATGGGATCGATCTTGAAGGTGAGTCTTAGATTTTATGGTATTTATTGGTGCGACTACATTACTGTACGGTCAAGTGGGATTAATTTTTACTTTGTACATAGCTACTGTATTTGAGGATTTGGGGCTCCAGAGAGCCTAGTCTTATTCTTTCATGAAATCAAACTGTTTCAAAAGCTCTTCAATTTGTCAACTTTTCAAATCTCAAATAAGATAATCAGAATTCTTCAAATGCGCAATTTCGCATTTTTTTTGTTTAATATAATCTCCGAAATCTCAAATAAGGTAATTAGAATCCATCAATTGAGAAATTTTTAGCTCGTAATTCAATTATGGCTTGACTCAACAATTCAATATAATCTCCGAATTCTCCACTGAGACAATCAAAGTGTTTCGAAAGTTCTCAAATAGATTTATTTTTATTTTTTTCTTAGATGATCCGAATCTTTTAATTCATGATATTTCATGAAACAAACTGTTTCAAAAGTTCTCATATATGACTTCAGCATCCATTGACTGTTTTCAAGGCAAAATTCAAACGTAAATTTCGATGTATTTTCTCACCAAAACACTTCGCTGAATGTATTTAAACGATTCCTAAATCTTTCAGCTTCAATTTGATTACATTTTAGGACAGAGAATTCCTTTTATATAATAATAAGATAATCATTTCCATTTGAGCTATTTCCAAATCCAAACACTCATTCTCTCTTGCAGATACGAAGTTTGTTTTTTAACCAAGAGGTGCGTCAATTGTAATCTAACTACAGTCACCCCAGCATTGTGGGCCACCCACAATTATGGGTCACTTCCATTTGATTAACAGGCAAAACTGACTGAACCGTAATATTGACTAGCTGGCCCACAATACTGGGGTGACTGTATAGACTCTTTCATTTTATTATTATTATCAGCCATTCCATAGCAAAACGATATAGTGGTTCTCAGAATTTCATTAAAATTGTTAGTTTTGTTCCTTATCGCAAAATATTGGACCCATATTTTTATATTTTGTCATTAGGGTGACCGTTTCCACGTTAGGGTGGTCCAAAAAATCGATTTTTTTTTTTCAAAAATTACTTATTTCAAAAATGTTTAATTTTTGAACCATTAGACCGATTTTAAAGATCAAAATATCGAATGAAAGGTAAAGTAAAAATAAATTTTAGAAAAAATAAAATATTATCAAAAAAAATTGGGATTTTTATTGAAAAACATTTATTGTATTTGTTTTTTTTTTTTTTATGGTTTTCATGGTTTGTAGATAGTTGGCGCAATGTGTTTTTATATTTTTTTCTTAAAAATTTAGGCTTTTTTACATATCATATCAACAGGGTGGCCAGGGAACCGGAAAACCGTGAAAACCAGGAATTAACCTGGAATTAACCTGAATTTGAAAAGAAGCCGGGAAAAATGAATAAACCGGGAAAAATCAATAAACCTAAACATGTTCCAACAAAAATTCAAACTTGAATAACAGATTGAGCTTAATCTAGCAAGCATATAATTACGAGACGGTTCTCATAATGATTATAAAAAAAACTTTTATTGCACTAAACCATTTGATTACACTTCTCACTTAATGCTAAAACTGAACTGATTGAATTTTGCCTCAGCGGTCATACTTATGCCCTACTTCTGCTAGCACTGCATAATTCTAATTTCTGCTGACGCTTGATGCTCGATGAACTGGAGTGGTTGCGTGGTCCGATGTGTTGCTACGCGGTACATTGATGACACCGCTAGTTTATATGGAAATGTGTTCCCTGATTCCTCCGGGGGGTGAAGAAAGGACGTCCTCGTCCTTGTTGTGCTTGTTGTCGGATGTGACTTCTGATGACTTCTGCCTTTTGTTCCTTGACTTTGATTGTTGAATCTTGATGGTGAACTTTCGTTTCCGAAAACACACATAGATGATTACTCCTGTTATAGCGACTGTTGAAATTGACAGCCCTCCTAGCATGCCGAAAATCCAATTTTGATGATTGTATTGCTTAAGGTTGATAAATTCCAATTGATGTCGGTTCTCCTTGGTTAAGATGCTGAGCGTTGGAATGTCATGATGTTCAACTATAGTTCGGTTGATTATTAAACTGGGAAATGCGCCTTGCAGTTCCTTGGTGCTACCAGATTCTTCTTGTGATGTGAAAATCTGGTCGTTTATTGTTATACTGCAATTGAAAAATTTTATCAAAAAATTTCCTGAAAGGGTCCTGTTGTGTGGTCACAGCTTGAATGCATGTATAAACTTTTGGCGTTATTGATAAGAATGCTGTTGTCCGAAATCAGACTAGTAAACGTGTTAATTTCCTTCATTGCATTGCAATGGCTTATGATTCCCGTAATCATTGAGTGTGTGCAATTATCCTCCAATAATTGCATGTATGTTGTCCGTTGAATATATTCTTCTGGGTGTGAAGTGGTAAAGATGTCATGATTTGATTTAACTACAAATGTTGGTAGGTTGGTAATGATGGTATCGTCGACGATTAGCGGAAAGATTTGGATGATTTCTGATTGAGATTTCTGTAGTTCTGGTATCTCCAGAATGTATAGTAGTAAATCGTTTTGTGTTGCGATTTTCGGGTTCACGTAGTCCAATGCTTGTTCTGGGTATCGTGTCTTAATTCCTTGCTCATGCAATAGGGGAAATGACGGCTTCGGCATGCCAGACTATTTTCGGCAACCCAAATTGAAACACTATTTTCACTGGATTTTGTTACGAAAACACTTCGCTGAATGCATGCAAACGATTCTTTATGCTTTCAGCTTCAATTTGACTATATTTTTACCACTGAGAAGAAGCAATCTAGCAAGGTTTTCTTGAAATGAAACACACGCACTACAAATTGTAGCTGATTTCGAGTTGCCGATAATAGAACAGCAGAATTACATGCAGTTCAAATGGAACGGTTGCCGAAGAAAAACTGGTTGCCGACAATACTCGCTCTCACTAGAGAAGATTGGAGCTTTGTAAAAGCGTTTCAAAACAGTTTTTGACAATTATTTCGACTGAAATTGTTAGAGCAGCTGGCAGCAAAAGATTGTAAACAAACCAATACTGCATGTGTGTGCGTTCCTTAGCGAAAAAGGCTATAGAAAGAAGGTTGCTGCTTAGGTTGCCGAGAATACGTAAATTCCCCTAGTGATTCAATATGTAAAATTTCCTTTAAAGTAAGTAGTTTATTGTTGGGTAGAGAAATACGCGTTCTAAGTAATGTGTCCTGGATTTCCGTGATGATGCTATTAAGGGTGTCCATATACAGCAGTAATTTGATAGCTTCATATTCCTCGAGCAAGATTTTGTTTTCCATGTTCTGCTGAGCAATAAGTTGATTGACTGTATTGCTGATATCGGCAATTCTATTTGAAATCATTTGGTTAACTTGAATTTGTCGGTTATTCTCTTGGATGAGATCTTTTGTTGTTCTATTAATGATGCGGAGGTCATCTGCATCAGGGCTTCCGGCTAGCCACTTCCAAGCTGATCCTAGGGCATCCCAGCGCCTTTTCCTTTTCCGTTCCGCTGGTTTTATCTGCAGAAGGTTACTATGCAGCTCCCTACTCTTTCGTATGACCAACTGGGAAATTTGTAAATTATCGTCTAATTTCCTAGCTATTTTGTTAATTTGATTTACATTTGTTTCAATGACGGTAATATTTATTGGATGGACAATTTTTATCAAGCCTGTTTGAATTTTGCATTCCTTGTGTTGTACTAAAAGTATTGGGTCCTGATGAAGGTTCCGTATTTCCATTTTTGATTCTGTCGTTACTATAACAGCCAAGACAATGATGATAAGGTAGCGGCATAGGTATATTCCAGTGTTCTGTAATTTAGATTTCTAAAGTTAGGACGTTTTCTTCAGCCTTTTAATTTTGTTTTTATGTCTTTTAATGTTTCGTTCGTTTTTGAATGTTTTATGGGTAATATCGTGTGCCTTAGTTTCATTTGCCCTAGGTTGTCTTTTTGATCTGATATTAGGGATTACAAAGACTTCCTGATTTTCTTCGATTGTGGGGGGGGGGGTCTTCCTTATTCGTATTTTGTTTCCTTTGTTTGTTTTGTGACTTATACATGTTTATCCTAGCTTCTCGAAAAACTTTTTCGGCATTATTGACTATGTCGATTGGATTCATATTATTGTTATTGTTAAAGACTATCTCGTTTGGGGTGAAGGAACTTGCAGAATGAACTGAATTATTATATAAGGCTACAGATAATTTTACTATAGATTTTGTTCCCATATTTTCAAATTTGTGTTTGTTACTGTTAAATATTTCAATTATAGTTGAATGTGTCCTTTCTATCTGGCCATTAGACTCAGACGACGATGCATAGGCTAAAGACGATCCTGCTTGTGAAATAAAGTTCCTGAATTGAATGGACTGGAATGTAGTTTCATGGTCTGTTATTATCAGTTTTGGTATGCCAAATGAAACGAAATACTTAGTTAAGGCTTTTTGAACATCAATGAGGTTTTTAGTTTTCATATAACATAGTTGTACATGCTTGGAGAAAGAATCAATGAGAGATAGAAAATTACAATTGTCCATTATAAAAATGTCCATGTGTACGCGTTCCATGGGCTTGTCAGTGATAGGACGCGGGGAGATTTTGCGCTCGTATTTATGCTTGTTACATCTTACAGGAATTGATGTACATATTAACGAATTTATGCATTTTTGGAAAGTAATAAGAACGTTTTAACTGAGACATTACTTCTGCAATGCCTCTGTGGGCTCTCTCGTGTTCATTTACTATTAAACGATTTTGTCTTTCCTCGTTCTGCACGTCTTCGACAAGGTTACTTGCAAAAACAAAATGACCTTTCTTGTCAAAGTGTTGTTTGAATGATTCTTGAATAAGAAGCATGATAGGTTCGGACGCCAAAATAGCCGTTTGCTTACCATTATGATATAGTTTCAAAAATTGTGTTATGTCCTGCGTCGTGAAGTTGGGTTGTGTTACGATTGTCCTCTTATGGTTTCCAAATAACGTTTCCTGGATAACTGTGGTA